GTATCTCCATTTTAAAAGAGGAAACAAATTAAGAAGAAAAATAATTATAATGAAATTTAAAACAAATTAATACGGTAGTCCACAGAAAATATAATCTGGAATGTGCCTATAGAATGCCTAAAGAGTTCTTTCAAGGCATAAAGAGTCTCAGGAATACCAGTTTTTCCTAAACGTAATCTATAATACTACAGCTTCAGATTATGAATTCAGGAATTATAAAACTATCCAAGGGCCAGCCTTGGTGGCTCATGCCTATAATCCCAGCACTTCAGGAGGCTGAGGTAGGAGGATGGCTTGAGGCCAGGAGTTTAAGAGTAGCCTGGGCAACACCGCGAGACTCATTTCTACAAAAAAAATTTTAAAAATGAGTCTGGCATGGTGGTGCATGCCTGTAGTCCTACTAGCTACTCAGGAGGCCGAGGAGGGAGGTTTGCTTGAGCCCAGGAGTTCAAGGCTGCAGTGAGCTATTACGATGCCACTGCACTCCAACCTGGACGAAGGAGTGAGACCTTGAGTTATTTCAAGTACACAGGGGCTGCAGGGGAACAGGAGCCAAATTCCCGAATCCACCACATGGGAAAAGAATGAACTCCTGATTCACATGCAGATGCATGGATGGGACTCCACGCTCGGGCTGCGGCCGTAGGAGTAGCTGCAGTGACTGTAGGGACCATTCATCCAGCGCCATCACGGCTAATTTTAGCTACACATCTCACGAACAGATGTGTCCACTATTAGGGAATGAAGCAGAGAATAACTTTTACGCCTGGAAATGTGAAGTCACTATAGTTAAAAACTAAATATTTACTGAGTGCTTCTGCTGTGTGGGACCCGGCACGGGCCCTGGAGAGGATACGGTCAATACAGATCACAGTTTTGCTTTGTTTGAAATATGACTTCAAGAAGCGTGCCACCTCTAGTTGCCGGGGGCCTCTTTTTGCAGCATGCTGGAAACGCAGTGAGTGTGGTCCCTTTTCACGTTTAGACAGAACCCTACTCAGGGCACTCAGTCACACGTGTTTCCTGCCCCCTTCTTGTTACTTAATATTTATAGACCCGACTTCAGCACGCCCTGCAGTTATCCACTCAGTGTTTACGTCCGCTCCATGAAAGTTTCGTCCAGCCTAAATCTGTTATAACCCAACCTGACCCAGTATCCGCCCACCCCGTCCAAGACGGCCAAGCATGACAACAGCAGCGTACCTTGAGAGCTGTGAGTAATCACGGCACGGTGCTCGGCACTTCAACACACTGGCTCATCAGAGCCCACAGCGAGCCTCTGAGGCGAGTGCTGTTCTCATCTCCATCTCACAGATGAAGAAACTGGCTACTTTGCTAGTTGCTGTCAGAGCTAGGATTCGAACTCAGGTCTGTCTGACCCCAAAGCCACAGCTCCTAGTCTTTGGGTAAGAGTCTTCTTTCTTCCATAAGGCTACAATTAAAGCTGAGGTATGATGAAAACCCAGTTATTAAAAGCCTGGTGACTAAAATAACCCAGTTATTTATATGTTTACATACTTACTGAGCACACCTTAGCCTTCTCTTCTTTACGTGAACTACTGCAAGTTTCCTCACCTGTGCATCCTGGGCCCCTCCCCCGCCTCCCCCCCGGACATGTCCCACGATTTCCCCAGGGCTCCTCTGATGATGGGACCTGAACTTCCAGCTGCCAGTCCTGACAGCTTGCAGTTCTGCTGAGTCCTTGGTTCTTCCTCTAGTCTCGGACTGTCTCTATGTGCATTTGAGATGCCTTTTTTTCTTCTTTCTAAGGACCCACCAATCAATCTTAGGGAACTCTATGTTGTTTATCTCTGCCAATTCTTCGACGTACCAAAGCCATCTTTAAATGCAGACATTATAAACAAACTTCCTATTTCCTCATCCAGATCGCTGTCATCTATGCTAACCTGGGCCCTAGAGCAGCAATTAAGAAAAATTCTTAGGTATTTTAGCAAGAACAAATTCCGTAAGTGGCCTGTGTGTGATATGACTGCTAGGAGACAGGAGTGATCTTGGGTCCCACTAACGCAGGCATGCTATCTAGAACAAAGGCAAAGCTGATGCGGTCCTACTCCGCTGGCCACAACAGATGTGTCCCCATGTTCAAAGTCTGGGCTGTAACACGGGCATTGATGTAGGATTGAGTTTGGAGGGTACTACCCGGGTGACGAGGAAAGATAACACTACAACACAAATTTTCACGAAAGAAGTGAGACGATCGGGGGAACACACAATTTTTAAAATATTGGAACGACTGCCGTAAGGACAAGAAATAACAACTGTACGCAACAACTACCACGATGGCTCACGTTCATTAAACACTTGCTGTGTGCAAGAAGGTCACACATTGCAAGTGTGTTTATATTTGTTCCCCAAAACAACCCTATGGAGTAAGTGCTAGGATGTTACCCATTTTACTGATGGGTAAACTGAAGCATAAAGGAGCAAAGAACTAGCCCCAGGTCACACAGCTAATCCGTTTCAGAGCTG